GTTCTCTTCAATGTCAGTAAGATCGCCTCTTATATAATAATATATTGTGTAGTGTGTACATACTAATTTTACCGATATTACTTGCATTACTATTGTAATAATAGTGATGTCTACAATAATTTTACCATCGCGTATATACGAGGCAATGTTTGGTACCTATGCGATAAATGACGTACCTATTTTATTATTACGATGCAGGTATAGGTGGGTATAGTTATGGAGAGTATAGTCGTACGATTCTAAGAGAAGGCCGACGGGAGAGAGCAAAGAGATACCTAGTCGGAATGGGAGAACGCGGAATCGTCTTACAACAATAACAAATAGATATTCGTATCCATATTCTATACAGTTACAGCCTACAACGGGTATTACTTACGGTTATAATAATATAATGTAACAAACGTAGCGCTGCAACCGTATTTTCGCGGTGTCGGTTTGAATTTTGCCGAACGTAAACGGGCCGTCGACGGCGTGTGTACCTATCGGCGCTAATATGGGCGTACAGGTGGTAACGTGATACGGTTGTGTTGTATTATACTGTGAAATATATAATATAATATTAGATACACGTAAGACATATAATAAGATAATATGATCAGGCCGTGAGTAATGTGAACGGCAGATCGGCGTGCTGATGATATTGTAATACACTGCACGTGGGGCTCAAATAATACATCAAATAATATCATACGCACTACGTCTTTATACGGTTGTTATTGTTACCGTGTACACCGATTACCAGGTATTAGAGGTACCTATATTATTCGACGATATAGGATACCTATATCTGTCCGGTATAATGTAAAAGACATAATGTATAATCGAACTCGACGACGAGAGTCTGTATTATTATTATTATAGCGATGAGTGACGCGGCTGTGATAGTGACGTTGTTACAGTAGTACAGTTTGGGGTTGGGATTTTGAGGGGAGCGATTGCAGGGCGCAACGATTTCGCCTGACGGAATTCGTACCGATGTGTTTTTAGGAAAAAAAATTTTGTTTTTGCATCGGTTGGTACTCACAGTTAATAGTTTTGAATTTCCGAATATTTTCGAGATCGTGTCGGCGCTGAAGAGGTACCTATACACTCGAAAATACATTTGAACGAGCGCGTGTGTGAGCTGTTGCAATGTGTGCGTCAGCGTTGTGCTTGTGTTGTACCTCATCCGTATATTCGAGTACCGCCGCCGCCGCCGACGACTCTTGAACCCTCCGCGCGCCCATTAATAGTAGACTCGATACATAAAAAAAAAAAAAACACAATTTTTCACCCTCCACCCTACGTTGCCCAAAAACCGGTGTTCGTATTTACTCGGCGACGGGCTATTATAAAATAATATTATATTATATTGTCGCGCGTTTTATTCCATTATATTGAAGCTCGTTTAATAAAAACTCTTGGCCGACCCTAATCGCGACAGACCCTTTTAACGTGACATTATATTCTGTTATTATAACGAAATCAGATAACGAAAGAGAGAAAAACACACATAATCAAATGCCCCTCGCTGAGATGAACCCTTTCCGACCAACTGCCGTCGACGTATACCTATTATATAGTATACCCACGCACATATATATTGTAATATGCGGTATAGTAAAATGTATTACATCGGTGTACATGTTTGCGACAATTTTTTTGGTAAAAAAAAAACATATAATAATTATTATTCGCTAGCGCTCGTTGTTATCGTATACCACGAATAGTCGGAGAATGAATTTCCGTAATAATTAATCGATCGCCGTTGATTACATTACGAAATTACGAAATGACACACTGTTATTGAACGTTTATTTCCTTTTTAGTATTTATCATATTATTATAGCACTACCAAAGGTTCGTATACTTGTCTTCTTAATTAGGTAACTCTACACAATTTCGTATGGAAATTGTAGCAATAGTGCCGTTTGTTAATTTATTTCAAAATTGTAATTTATTGTGTCAAAACTTAAAAGTAAAAACAAGTGTTTTGAAAAAAGTGTCCAAAATATATATTATAGGTATCATAAACGTAAATCAAATAATCAATCAAACAAAATATTTTTAACTTAATATCATAACCAAAGACATGTCTTTATTTTTTCAGAGATAATTGAAATAATTGAGTAGGTATAGTATATGATTCATAGTTTCTTACTCAATAAATAAATCACTTATAAATATATAATTAAATATATAATACCTAATATTGAAAATTAAAGAATTTAAGCGACATCGTATATACTACCTATGTTAAAGTTAATAGATACTTCCATATTATTTCCATACTCTGGGTCCGTCGTGCCTGATCTATTGAAAGATTCTAAATCGTGTACTTACGTAGGGAAAAGCTTAGTAGCTGATTACTTTATAATGAGAACAAATACCATAAAAAAATTAATTTTTTCTCTAAATTAGTTAATCATTTGAGTTATCAGTTCATTAATTACTAATTACTATATTTTGTGTTATGTTTAATTAATTAGCACTGCACCCATGTTTTTATTCAACAACTGCAGTTAGTGCGTTATTAACTTTTGTCACGTCTTATTCATTATTACTACGCTTGAGCCTTATGGCGTTTATCTCAATAAAATAAATAAATAACACTGCAGCGTGCAGGGCAGAATCGTGAGTAGCCAATAACGCCCTAAGCCCCCCTAATCGAATATGATTGCACGCAGATACGATGCAACGCACTTAACAAAATATATACCGAGGGCGGCTGCGAGGGGAATATCGTGATTACCTATGTCTACCTAATCATTGTTGTCGTCGAATCCTTAAAAAATCGTTAAATTTACTGTGATACTAAAACGTTGTGCAAACTACTTAAATCGTGGTATTTAAAATCACATATTATTGTGCACGGCTAATCGTTTTTTTTTGGTCACGCAGACTACCGCAGCATTCTACCACAGAAAAATCTTTAATCTAATACTATATTATATTACTTAAAAGTTGAAACGCTATTGTAGGTTGCCTGGAGATACGTCAGCGTTGTGAACAGACGAAACGAAAACGCATCCCCTAACCAAATAACCTTTCATTATGTAAATCCTAAATACCGATTATACCTCACTAGCCACTTTTTTCCGTATATACCTATAAATATATAAATACAATTACCGGTATATTTATACAAAATTGTATTAAATCTGCGGTCGTCGTAATGACGTGAGAGAAAACTTAATATTTTTTTTCCCCAAGACTATTATAATTTGTTTTCGTCGTCTTGTGCAACGCCCGTGATTGAATAAAACCTATATAGGTACAATGTACATTAAGTATATTCCCAGTCTCTATGAAAAAAAGCTATTTGATTAATAAATCACGAAATGGCAATGTTTTTTTTTTTATGAAATTTGAATTGAATAATGAGAAAAATGTTGTGCACCGAGTTTACCTATATATAGTATATACGGTACACGTGAAACATCAAAGACTTTTCGCCCTTATTGTAAACGTCAATTTTCTTCTCAACCTTAAAAATAAAAACGGGTAAAAGTATATAATATTTACGCTGGTCGCATTGAGAACGTTTTACGTCCCAGTAATCGGTAAATCGAGTTACGCTCTAGAAAAATGGATATAAATTGAGTTACCGAAGGTATTTTGTATTTCTCTTCATTCCTGGTTGTTCATATAATATATATATACACGTATACACATTTTGTTTATTTTTTCCATGCGACGGTCATGCTGGTTTTTCTTGCCGTGCTTTATTAAGTTTACTTTCATTTTTATGTTATTTTTCCTTCACCTCGTCCTAACCTGCACGTTCACGACAATAATAATAATAAAAATCATTTTCTTTCGAACCCCATGGGCTGTCGGCAAGGTGCGAGACATGTTTTTATCCTGATTTTTCCGCTTCCTCTACTCCACTGATCTTATCGCTATTCCCAGAGACCAGCTTATTGCTACGAGTCAAGAAATTCATTATATAATATTACATACTTTGTATATTGTATTATACGTATTATGTGTGCATATAAACATGCAGTAGATATATTTATAACAACGTTATACCCGCGTCTTTTCTACCAAATATGTCTTTGCCAGACTCTTTGCAATCCTTTTTATAAATATTAATTTATTATTTTTTGCTATTCACGTCTGTACTATACACGACGTAATGTGTTGTAAGTACCTATATTGAATAGTGAATACCTACATTATACTAATAACGCTTTTTCGCTTCGCGTTTTTCTTTGAATCCATCCCGACGAAAACGGCGCCGCTCCAGACGATTTCATACACGGGAAATCCAATATTAAAAAATATATTATAGGGTCGCATTGGACTAAGTCGATGACATGCGATTTTACGCAGAATCCAATTCAATCGTGCCTCATCCAATCACCGTTAGATAGGTTGATATGCATCGCAATCTGTGTTATATTTTCTGTAGGTCGTACAAAAATAATAGTGTCATACTGTCGTACTATGTTTTAAGTGTCCTTGATTAAATATTTAGCAATAGCCGTACACCCCGTACCTATAATTGGCTATATTGGCTACTGCACGACAAATAAAAGTATGGTTCCAATATAATATATTATATGTACTACATTTGCATATTATGATTCTCAATTTTCTCGTATACATTATGGTACATGTACGCAGCGGCACAGTATTCTAACCGTAGAGCTACTAAAGCTACTTGGAATAAAATGGGAATAATATTATACAACTAATAATTAATCCATCATCCATGCCATTATCGCAGATTATATAAACTGTGCTATTATGTTAACTGTCTAATGATAGCCAATAATAACTATTATTTACGGACTCAACGTTATCCTATACACAAAGTTACTCTTATTATAAGTATAACTAAATGCAAACATGCGGGTCCCCTCCAGATAGTGTACAAGAGATAACTACACAACATTAATACCTCAATCTTTAACTCAAAGTACTTGCCCTTGTGTTATAACTATAATAATGTCTGAAAAACCAACTCGAATTCAAAATACTAAATTGTCCGTCGTTTGTGTGCGTGTTCGCAGGTGTGGTTCCAGAACCGGAGGGCCAAGTGGCGCAGACAGGAGAAGATGGAGGCGGCTAGACTGGGCCTGAACGACTACGTGCACTCGACGATGACCGGCTCGCTCAGCCGGATGCCCGGGTCCAGCCTGGCGCTGCCCGTCGACCCGTGGCTGTCGCCGCCGCTGCTGTCCGCGCTACCGGGTTTCCTGTCGCACCCGCAGACGGGCTACCCGAGCTACCTGACGCCACCGGTGGTGCACTGTGGCCCGCCGTCGTCCGCACAGAAGTCACCGCCGTCACCGCAACAACAGATCACCATCGCCACGCCACCGTCGTCGTCATCGCTGTCCACGTCTTCATCGTCAGCGGTGTCCACTGCCGATCCCAGGACATCGTCCATAGCTGTGCTTAGGCTCAAGGCCAAGGAGCACGTCGAGTCCATCACGAAAGGCATGCAAATGGTCTAGAGCCCCCCCGATACTTCTTATGTACCTATAGGTATACCACCGTAACAAGAATAGCAATAATAATAATAATAATAATTTCATTAAGTCACATGCAAAATAAATTATTAAATATGCACTTATTTATGCGTATGTACAGAATATCAAAAACAAACAAGATAAAAAACTACAACGATGGTTAATGTCAAAATATACATACATATTTTATATTATACCTAACACGAATTTAAATAATATTATTGAAAAAAATACCAATCGAAATAGGTATAAGCGGTTCGTTTTCAGATCCAAAACATCTGCAGCCTTGTATTTTGAACAATTCTGTTTAGTGTTTTCTTTATATTCCACGATACGCAACTCCGAATCGATTATATTATATTTTTTTGTTCTAATTCTCGAAAATACATCATGTAAGCCCTAGAATTATACAGTGTGTAACACGTATATAAAGTATAAATTAATCAGAGTTGTTTTTCATAATTAATTCGAGTATTCCTACATGAAAATATAAAATTTGTATTGGTTTAAGTCTGGAACCCTAATTATTATTATGCACCCATAAGAACGCCATGTGAGTATGTGATTATGTATGACTATCGTTGTCGCGGACCTTAGTTTTATAGGTACTTATAATTGTAAATCTTAATAACGAATACTAAATACTAATCGTCATCGTTAAGACTTGATCACAATGTCTATAGTGCGATGAACAATTTATTTCCGGGTCAGTTCTGTCCCCACCGAAGACAAACACGCCCTCTTTCGCATTTCTCACACTATATGTATACAAAATATCACCAGAAATAATATCATATTGTAAAATATGAATATTATTATTATTATTGTTATTATTCGTAAAATTTACGGTTTCCAAATAATTGGTAATGTTTATGAAAATATATTGTAATCATAAATAAGTACATACCTATTATTAATTTTATTATTATTTCAAAATGTACAGTATTATACACTGAAAACCAGTGCATTCGAAATTCGCTCTTATATTTACATATATATTTATGCGTATAAACATATTATTATACATAATTGGATATTGTACATAAATCGTATATATTATAATATATAATAGTATTGTAATTTATTGTGCATCTTAATATATTATAACCATAAGAATTATTAGAAAATAGATATTAGAGGTTTTGTTGTTCTATATTATTGTATAAAATTATTGTCATTTCATAAATATTGTTTTAGATTATATTGAGCTAGTCATTTGAATTTTTCTTTTCTATCATTAAAATAAACGTTGCTGACAACTGATCAGTGACCACCGGCATCGGCACCCTCGCATATATGCTGACGTCCAACAAAGAAAACATGACGTAAATCATCATTGTTCAAACTGTTGTTTATCTGCTGAGGTTATCACCATCAATATTTCAGTGCATTAAATAGGTACTTACTCTCAAACTGAAGTAAACGAAAAAACCATTATTGTACAGCGTTTATTAAAAAAAATTATAAATAATACGTTGAGAAATATCTTTTATACGACCACTTATATCAATATTTGGAATTTTAAACAATATATATAATGGAAATCGGGTGTTTTGAATGCGGTAAGCTCGCAAGTCAAAATAATCATAGATATTATTTCAATTCGTCTCGTTATGTACTCAGAGTAGTACAACGATGTAACGTTTGTGCGAATTTTTGTCATCTGGTGCCATCTTATATTTTTTCTCTACTCGAAACCTGGATGTGTATAACGTTATAATTTATTACATTTACCTAAAATTAATGAATCCTACCTTGCTTATCAGCAAAATAAACACACAAGCTCCCGTATTACGGCTTTTGCGGAACTCTACTACAGTGCAGCTAGTGCACCTATATGTATGCGTTTCGACCGAAAATCGTTGGTGCTCAAACAGAATCCACTTTATTTATCCGGGGACGTTGCCATATTTAAATCCATTTGTTAGATACTGTGGCAAGAGAATTTCCCAACTAAACATTATACTGGAGCTAAAGGCGTGGGCGTGTATAATATAAACAGCACCAAACCCAATTAATTAAAATCATTTGGTCTATAGCAAAGGGCTGTGTTCAGAGATTCTTAATTTAGCACATTTTGCACTGTTCTACCCAGTACCCACACCCCCATTCGGCACGACGTCTGTCCCCTGCGTCCAATCATCCACCCACCCTATAAGTACGTGAAAATATATATAGATCCGAAAGGAAAACTGGCAGTAGCACCGCCACTGCCGGTTGGCCCGCTTAAAACTTCTTCATTACTGGGCGGCAAACACTGAATTAGCATTTTATTAGCTTTTCCCAGAACCGGAAAAACAACCAGCGCACAGGACACCGGCCTTTGATCGACCTTTGAGGGGATCCCCAAAACCAAGTCATCTGGATGAAAAAGCTTCTAGAAGCAGCCAGCCTATCTAGTCTCCAGGCCATAAAACCATCACCCTCCCCATCCCACCACAGTCACTGATGTGCTGCAGGGTAAACTCTGTTTTCATTTCACCACCGCTTTTGCTGTACCTCCTCCTCCGCAGAACTAAAATGACAGTTTACCGTCTCCACGCACACAACCATTTACAGGGTTGTATTTTATTAAATCCTTAAGGATTAAATTAAAACTATAGCTCCCCTCTTATAGGTATATACAGAACGATTACGCCGATGAGTAACCAAAACCATTGGAATTTAATTTAATGAAAAGTAAAATCAGATACCTATTAAACAATTCAACGCAATTTCACTCACAATGACTGACTGTTTATAATAAAATATATAATTAGTTTTATAATGACAGAAAGGCATTCACGCAGTATAATACTTCTAAATAACATTTATGCATACCTAATTATATACCTACATTTTTAATTAAATTACCTATTTTTGGTTTATTATTAATTTTAATATCATGTATTTATTTTTATTATTTGAAGCATGTTTATTTATGATTATGATAAACTATTATCTAAATTGTATAAACAATTGAAACTATATTTCATCGATATATTCTAAAAGTTTGCAATTATAATCAATTTATCATTTTATCCGTTATAAAATTTAATTTCTATATTTTACAATTAACTTTTTATAAAGTAAAATATGTCTTTCCCGAATTATGAATACAACATTCATGCAACTGCATTCACCCTGTAGGTATGTGGTACACGATTTAATGCACCAATCAATTAATTATACCTACGCCGTTTTATTTGCCTTTAGAAATGTAAATTTTGGCTGAAATACTACTGGAACAAAACAATAGAACAGTGTAACAACTAAACGAAGGGTAAATGACCCTTATAAACTTAGTTTTAATCCGAGATTACTGTCGAGAGGTTCAACCATAAAGATAAAGGACGTAAATAAGAATTAAAGAATCTGTTTAAAATGTCAAAAACAATTCTTATACATAATGGAATACTTATAACATTGCCCAATTTGTCATTGGATTATAATATTCTTATGACGTTTATTATATACTATATTAACTTGAATTTAATATCGAATAGTTGGTAGTTTTTAAGATTGCGCCCTTTCTAAAATTATATGCAACCTAAATTTTATCTAATTTTTTCGTTGCCAAATTATGTATATTACTTGATATATTTTATAACCCTACTATTTAATACGTCATCGTTGTCGTCCGATAGAAATAATTGGATTGGCACTTTCTAATATACACCCCTATCAATGTATTATGTCGAAGCCAATATTATAATATACGTGCATGTTGTGCAGTCTATACTCGATTATAATAGAGGCACTTCAGGTACTTGCGTCTTGCAACTGCTAAGATAATAATAAAAACACATCGTTTATTCTTAAACCATAGAGTTTTTTTATAGAGTTCTATAATAATTGGCGTTAGGCTTCAATAATTATTGTTTGAAAGTCAGTGCATTAAGCAAATTACTGTGAGTCATTGTGGACGATTGTGTTAAACTCAACCCATATGATGAGTCCGATCACGAATAATATACCCTCTCGTTTTATGACTATTATGGTTGGCGTTTGATTTTACTTTTGTTTAAAATTATCAAGCAGATTATATTTGTATTATTTAAACGCCAATACTATAGTAGCCAGTAGGTAACGTAACATCATTGTCAATGCCGCCATATTACATCTTAAAAAAATATGCGTAAACTAAGAGTTTATAATTATTATAACCACAGATGACATGCATAATGTAATATGTATAACAAGTTTTTTTATCACTTAATCTTTTTATTTTATATAAAAGAGAGCGTACAATGTATCTATACATTTCCGAAACGGTTGCAGTTGAAAAACGAAGGAAATACAAAAGTACAAGGGTGAAATCATGATTTGTCGTTTTTTCAATCTTAACCAGCCGCATGTTTACTTAACCGGGTCGGAGCGCATTGGAGTTCATTTTATTAAAAATCACCCATTTGACGTTTACGTCTCAAGTTTCTTTTGATTACAGCTGTGAGTAAAGAGTACCTATATTATATTATATAGTAGTCGTAGCTACGGAATAAGATGCATCCGTCTCCGTTTCCACCAGCTGCGGTCAGCCATTTTGTTTTAATAACAATGTTTATCTCAAACTCTGAAACCCCATTATTATAGGGTTTTGAATGAAAAGAAACCAAAAGTTAAACTGCTGAAGGATTGGGTTTAATTTATTTTGAAAAGATGTCTATAGAAGGCTATGTGTACACAAACTAGTTGGACTAATATTTGTAAATGATACGCACAAAAAAAAATCAACCACGTTCATTTAGATTACTTTGTATCCAAACCCTAAATTTTCACTCCAAATAAAATAGTTCAATTCCAAAATATTACATAATGCGTATTATGTCGTATATGTTGCATTATTGTTAGCTCGCACGAGTTCCTTGAATACGGTTTCATTGGAACCCAAGTACTACCTACCTACTTATAACAGTTCATCGAATTTCACTACCTTGTAGACTTATAGTACCAGCTACTATACTTACGTCTTATGTCCTACTTTAATTTCATATTTTTCGTAAGTGTGATACATTATTACCGATAAATAATTATTAATAAACAATCTGACTAATTACGATTTGATTGGCATGTAATAATTAATATATTGGTTCGGTGCAAAATTATAAATTGAAACAAAAACAAGCGGATAACATGGCTGTAGTAAATGTTTTTAATAAAATATTTCACACAATTTTAAAACAATATAATACAACACTATAATATGCATCTATATTATACACACAATATCATTTATAGAGGCTATGATAGTTATTTCACGATTTTTTTGTATAAAAAAAAACAATCTAAATTTAAAAACGATTTAGAGCGTAAACCGACTGTCAGCCTAAACATTTTATTATATATTTAAATAATTGCTATTATTTATATGATAGGTTGAATTATATAAAAGAATTTTCACAAAAAACAGAACGAACGCATATATTATAAAATTACTATCTATTATTTACAGTTATAACTTATAAGTTAAAAGTCATTACCGGCACACCGTGGGATGTTCTGGATAGGTTCCGTGCTGTATAAATAGCTTAAAATTAATCAAAATATTTTTAAAATTGAATTGTAAAGTAAATAATATTCAAAATTACAAAGTAACGAAATGTTCCATGTCCCATCGAATAATATTTCCTAAATTACAAGTTACAACAAAACATGTAAAAACATGTCAAGTCAGAGGTAATGTATCTCCTACCCATATATTTTATTACTCATTAGTGTATTGTATCATAGTGCACAGGATTTAATTTTTATAACAGTTTTTGTTTGATATCTCATTATTCTAACTTCTAAACAATCTAAACAATC